GGTTTCGGCCCCCCCACCGATTGTGCAGAGCCCCCCTTTCGTGGCAGCTGTTTTCTGCCCTCCGCATCCCAGCTTGGGGGTGGGGGTGTCTGCTGGAGACCCAGGGACGGGGAGCCAGAGCTGTACTCGAAGCCAGGAGGCCGCTGAGCTGGGAGAAGCCGGCTCAGCCCAGCCAGGTCCAACCCCATGGCATCGCGGGCTGGAGGACAGGAGCCGGCTGGAGCCCCAGGGCAGGCTCCAGCCCCAGGGAGCAGCTGCTGCAGCTCATCCCAGAGGAGAGCAGAGCCGGTGAGTGGGGCTGGAGGGGGGAGGGCCGGGCCGGGCCGGGCCAGGCAGCTGAGGGTCCTCTTAGCTTGGGTGGGCGCCAGCCGCAGGAGCTAGGGGCCCTGCCTTGTGTCTCGGGCTGTGCGTGCGCTGCGCTGGGCGGCTGTTGGGGCCTCTCTCTGCTGCTGAGGACGCTGGAGAGCTGGGTTTGCGGGTGCTGCTGGGGCTTCTAGGTGTGGGCACAGTGCCTTTGCCTCCCCGGCTTCACGGAGCAGCTGGCGCTGGCACAATCTACGGGCGCAGTAGTCGAGCAGGGCTGGGGGCCAGGGCCCGGTAGTACCCCGGCCCCTGCAGACAGCGCTGCCGGATTTGGTTCGACTCCCTGCACTCTTTTTTGGGACGCCTGGAGTCTCTCCTTTTCCATGGCCAAAGCAGACGGTCCTCGTGGGGTGGGGGGTTGAGGACCTGCATCTGTCTGAGCCGAGAACAGCTGCTGGCGTGTGCGGGGGGCTAGGGAGAGTGCCGGGGTGGGTTGGGGGGGCCGGGGCCTGGGCTGTGGAAGTCACTAAACGCCCAGGTTCCCCCAGTGCTGGATTAATGATGGCTGGTTCGTGTCTGAACAGGCCCTGGAAGGGCAGGGTGATCCCCTGAGCTGCGTCTCACAGAGGCCGCTTTTGGGGGTGGAGGCTGGGGGGCAGCTGCCCTGGCTCGGGGGGGGGTCCCACAGGGACTCTCAGGGGAGTGGGTTTCCCATATAGCAGAAGCCAGGGTCTTATCTTCCCTATTGCAGCAGCGGGGGGAGCAGGAGGACTGGTGAGTGGACACCCCAGTGAAGTGGATGATGCCTATAGGGGCACCTAAAGGGACCTATATCACTGCAGCACCTCTGGGCTCTGCACTTGTCTAGAGTGTGTAGGCTTCTTCATGTGTGTGCGCGCGCACATGCACCAAGTATGCCCCTAGATGCCCACGTGCACGTACACCCATGGTCATGTCCACGCACACATGCCTCTAGGTGCCCATGTACACATGCGCTCAGCCTGCAATCCCACCCATCCACACGCGCACACAGGCCACGTATATGTATGCACACAGATGTGCATACACACGTGCACACACTTGGGCCATAGATGTCTATATCTTTGCACACACAGTGTGCACACATCATGTCAACACCCATGTCTGCATGTGCACAGTGCGCGCACACGTATGCAGAAACCCAGGAGCACATGCAAAACGCACACTACACAGGCCCTCATGTATGTTTGCATGCACACATGGTGCACACTCCCGCCCACGGGGCACGCAGAGGCAGCCGGGTGGCTCTTGCGGGTGCACTGCCTTTATTATCACGGGGCAGGGGCATGGCGCCAGCCTGCACCCCCCGGACACACGGCCCCCCCACCTCTCCACGCCCCGGCAGCTGGGCCCCTGCGGCAGCTGGAGGTCTCCTGGTGCAGGAAGGGGGGGCAGAGGGGGTCCCCCGGCGCCGGAGGGGGAAGCACAGAGGCCCCCGCGCGGGGGTTTACAGGTCGCTCTCGCCGTAGAGCGCGTTGGAGAAGGAGACGTAGTCGAGGGCCCCAGACACGGTGTCGGCCCCCACGTACTTCGTCATGCGGGTGATGCAGTACTCGGCCTGCTCCGGGGGCAGCTCACGCCGCAGCTCCTCCACCGTGATGTAGTTCTGGGGGGGAGGGGCACGGTGGGGGTCATGGGGGGGGACTGGGGGACCCCTGCGGTCCCTCCTGGGGCATGGTGCCCCCCCCGTGACCTCTCCTGGGGCATAGAGACCCTGGCATGATCCCTCCTGCTGGGTCTCACAGGTCACAGGACCCCCCTCCCCAGTCACGTGGGGCAGCCCCACCACCCCGCAGCATGGTATTCCCATGGGAGGGAGCCAAAGCTCCCCTCTCCCAGTATTGGGAGCCAGGGCAGGCTGCTTGGTGCGACAGCACCCCCCTACCCTTTCTCCAGCATGCCCTGCTGCAGGGGGTGCCTATCCCAGCATGCCTTGCGCTGTCACCCTCCCCTCCGGGCCCCAGGGCGAACCTTGTCGGAGGCGAGGATCTTGAAGGAGGCCATGACCTGTTCGGCCGTGTCGGTCTCGGCCGTCTCCCGGGTCATGAAGTCGATGAACGCCTGGAAGGTCACGACCCCCGTGTTGTTGGGGTCCACCAGCGTCATGATGCGGGCGAACTCCACCTCGCCCTGCGGGGAGACGGGGGTCAGCAGGGGGCGCTGTGCGATAGTAGGAAACCAGCAGGGGGTGCTCTGCCCTGGCAGGCTCCACTTACTCCTTGGAAGCTAAGCAGGGTCTGGAAGGGGGCAGGGTTTGGATGGGAGACCTATGCAGGCCACTGATCCCCCAGCGCTAGGGGTCCTAGTTGCTGCCCAGGCAAGCTGAGTACCCCTTGGAAGCTAAGCAGGGTCGGGGTGTGGACACAACACAGGTGCTACAGGGCGCTAGTGTCTGCCCAGGCTGGCTCTGATTACCCCTTGACAGCTAAGCAGGGGCAAGCATGGCCAGGGGTTGGGTGGGAGAGTGTGTGTGTGTGTATCAGGGGTGGGGACAATTATTTCAGGTGGAGGGCTGCTTACTGAGCTATGGCAAGCCATCAAGGGCTGCATGACAGGCATGCAGGGGCAGATAAATATTAATTTTCTAAATGTTTTAGGGGTCCCGTGGGCTGGATAGAACGAATGGCCTGGCAGGCTGCATTTTGCCCACCCCTGGCGTATATACTGATATCCCAGCCCCGTGCCCAGGCTGCCCCTGAGAAGCCGGCAGGGGGTGGGAGACTGCATGCGCCTGCGTCCCAGCATTAGGGGGTGACGTGCTGGGGGGGGGCTCTCACCAGGTCGTAGCCCATGGAAATGAGGCAGGCGCGGAAGTCATCGGGGTCCATCATCCCGTTCCGCTTCTGTGGGGAAGAGTCGGGTCAGGCTGGCGGTGCCATCCCCAAGGTCCCAGCGGGCGGCCAGCGCTCTGGCGGGGGCATCTGCCCCCAGCCAGGGGGACCGGGGCAGCGGGTGGGGGTGTGGCCATGCACTTGGGGCGTGGCCAGCGGGCGGGCGGGCAGGCGGGGCTGACCCGGTCGAAGTGGTTGAAGGAGGCCCGGAACTCGTTCATCTGCTCCTGGCTGATGCCCTTGGCGTCGCGCGTCAGGATCTGGTTCTCCA